TGGTATCTATCATAAACTGACTCTGGCCAATTTCTGTTAAGGACCTCGACCAAATCATAATCGATTACTATTCGAACTATTGTTGTGTATCATCAGCAAGTAATATGATTGATTCCCAAATAGAGGTCGACGATCCACTGTACGTATCTGTGAAGCAAATGGCTAATAAATATAATATTAAAATAGCGGTTGTTAGCAGTGACCAACGTATCCACATGAACAGATATTTCGACATTATATCGGATGTTCACCTCCTTGGGGGAGCCCTTTTGTTATCGGAAGAGTATTATAAAGAAAAGTCCACAAAAGTATTTGTTGTTCTTATCGGTGATGATGCTGATTGGGAGCTGCTAGAAGCAATGACGCTAATTACATCTGTGTTTGTACTTGGTCAGAAGAGTTCGGAAAACGATATCAAGTGTGATAAAATAGTGAATTACTATAGAACCGAAGTTGATCTACTGTTGGGTATGATAACAGAAATGGAACGAATTGATCAGCATTTGGTTACATTTAATCTATATAATTCGAAACAAATTGGAATACGAAATTTAACAAAAAAATCGGCTGAGTTTTTATGGTTACAATTGTTTAAACATGTTCTGTCCCTGATGCCTGATAATTCAGATGAACAGACCAAACAACGTATGCTAAATAAATGTCGGGAATACTACTATGATAGTGAAGCAGATTTGAAAGAAATTAAAATGTTCGAAGAAACCTATCAGTCAGCAGACGCAATTCAATGGTACACGGCTGAGTCATTTATTTATCGTATGATCAATAAAGCACTGAGAACCGAGAACATAATGGACTTATATTTATTTCGCTTCTTTATATTCGATCTTTCTTCAGAGCTAAAAGAAAAACACTGTTTGCAAACAACGACATCACTACTCGTTTATCGTGGACTAAAGCAAACTCAAAGTGAAATTGATGACTTACAGCTGAATATTGGTAATCTGATATCACCGAACGGTTTTATGTCATCCAGTCGTTCAGAAACAGTCGCCAATACATTTGCTACAAAACCATCAAAATTTAACAAAAATTTGAAGCCGATTCTATATGAAATTGAAATTTTGACTAGCGACTGTATCCATGCGGATATTGCAGAATACAGCGAATTCCCGTATGAACAAGAAGTGTTGTTCGACCTTGGGATCATCTTTCGTATTGAAAATGTTTTTTATGACGATAATGACAAAATATGGCACGTTCGCCTCAAAACAGTGAACAAAGGTCCCGAGCTCATTGACGATTACTTAGAATACAGTCGTACGGAAATGGCAGAAACCAACATTTTATTTGTTTTCGGGCAACTTTTGATCGTCATTGGAAAATATGATGAATCAGAGTTGTATTTTGAGAATTTATTAGCTCATTCTACAACTGATCGAGCTCAATGTTATTTTCATTTAGCTCGTGCACAATATTTTCAGTTGAATTTCGAAAGTGCTTCTAAAAATTATAATCAATCAATGTTGCTTGAATATCAAGAACTACCATTACAAATGAATCGTATTGCTAAAATTTTGAATAATATCGGTGTTCTATATCATTCTGGGTATAATGAGGACTTGGCACTGAGCTATTATCTATTAGCATTACGACTACGAGGTCAGCATTGTGCTACACCTGTGCAATATGCTCAAAGTTTTAATAACATTGGTACTTATTATCAAAAAACAGGTGATTACGACTATGCATTAGATTATCATCAATATGCATTGAAATTACGTGAAACATTTTTACCTCGAAATCATCCGGATCTAGCCGATAGTTGTGATAATTTGGCTGAAATTTATTCATGTAAAGATGACTACAATCTCTCGATCTATTATTATCAAAGATCATATGAAATAAGAAGCGAAATCCTGCCTGCAGAGCATCCAGATATACTTGAAAGTTTAAAAAACTTATCAAGGGCTCATACCTCAGCTAGTTATCGAAATAATGGCAATGTGAATCATCGACAACTAGCATTATCGTATCGGCTAAAAGGTATTGATATTCTAAAAGAGTATCAACCGAAAAATTATCCAAAGATTATGAAGGAATCGTCTGACATACTTCAAGATGATGACATCAATGAACTGTCAGCTCCAGATTTGGTTGAACAACGTGATAAATTAGAAGTTTACATGAAAGAAAATCGAAATAAAGTACCAAAAGTGCGTGTTAACGCTTGCAGATTGATCACCAGAGACATTGATAAACGATTGAAAGTTTGATCTGACCATCGTACTCAAAAAGTTTTAGAGATGACTCTTACCTTCTGATCGCGTGTGAAATTCGAAAAGCGCAGAACTACCTTCTTAAGCGCTATTTGCCATATGTCGAAATACAACAATGTTCTACTGGACACACTGTAAAAATAAGTCAAAAGGGTTTTCAATGGATTTAGTAAATGCTACTAAACCACTAAGGATATTTCGGGCACTGTAAAACCCTGAAACGTTTTGTTAGGTGTACTGAACCTTAGGTTATTTTTAACGCACGGTTTAGCCAAACGGTCGGAGTTTTTTCGGAAGATCAAAAGGTTTTGTATAGCAGACAAAGAGCACTTGGTTTAATTAGTCACCCAAATGTCCGACGCTCTCACTAACTAGTGGAGTGGTTTTTCATTCGTCCGAAACCCTAAAGCCCAAAACATGTTTGAATTATCTTTATGACACACTGTGCTGCATATATAACACTCAAACGCTGCTTTTACATACCTTTAATGACTGACCCCACCTATATAGATTTTCTGATCAGCCCACTTAGTAGAGAATTTGACGGGCTATCAAATGGTATATTTTTAAAAAATATATAATTTTTCGTTAGGACAGAAAAATGACTAAAGGAGTGTGCTGCACGTGTTTTTCGTACTCCAACGCTTCTTTTGAATGTCTTTGGTGACTGATCCAACAACAAGAACGCCTCGGAACTCGTTAGAACGCATTCCTAGTAAAGACGAACTCGTTCCTTCTGAAGACAAACGTGTTGCCCTTGAATCTGTTCCTAATCGATAAGACCTCGTTCTTGGGGAACGTGTTCAAATGCGTTCAGTAGCACTCGCGTTCTGCGGCTGTGAGAACGCGTTTGAACAGTTCAAAAATGACGCATTCCTACAGTCTTAGAACGCGTTCGTGCGTTTAGCTAGAATGCATTTCTGATTTAGAAGAGTCTTTTCTTCAACAGCGCGTTCAGATGCATTCAGTAAGAACGCGTTTTTAATTTTTTCAAGTCGAAAGAACAGAACATCGTTGATTAGATCTCAAGATGGCATATGAACGTCGTGGGTGATGTGCTTCTGAGGGCTACCCAAGAACTAAAAAATAGGAATTTTCGATCTGTCCAGGAATTGCCAACAGGTCCATGATAATTCCTTGAGGAAGGAAAGGATTTATCGTCAATTCTCCCAGTTCCCCTAAGTTCCACTATATCCAAAAAACAGAATCATTTATCCTTCATAACATTTTTTTCGCACATACACACTCCGAATTCTCTATTTCTTGACATAAGGTGGGCTCTTCATCGATCCGTGAGCCTAGTGATCCACCGTTAAAGCCCGTCGGGTCCATGATTTTTGGACCCAGAACAGGACCCGATGATAAAAATTTATTCAAACCCGGATCGGACCCGGACCCGGTTGGTTAAATGTTTTTGTACCCGTACCCGCTCAAACAAAATTCTCGGATCCGGACCCAATAATTAATTCTTTGTAATTCGGGCACGTATCACTCATTTGAGATCTATAATGCAAAATTCTAGTTCGGATTTGATAATCGATCCTAAGATAGGATATCCTTTTTTTCGTTTTTTATAATATTGTAACTATAGACAGTAGTAAAGAACCAGATAATGCAGATAATACTTTGTTTGGATTTTAGGTTCATAATAGTAATTTAATTTCGATAATATAGCCACTTTTCTACTATTTTTTATAAATTAAATGAACGGTTTTTTGAATAAAAAGAACAGAAATAAACGAAAATAAAAATAATGGAATTACTTTTTATAGTGGATTTTTTTTCTGGCTAATAAAAATTTATAGACCCGGGCCCGATGAATTCAAAATTTTCAGATCCGGACCTGGACCCGATGGGCTCTATCCATCATATACTATTGCTTGCACTGTTCACTTTTCCACTGGTCCTGACTAACGTCTATATAAATGTATGTCTTCTCTCTCATTCTTATCCGTTATATTTGTTTTAAATAAACTGTCCATAGACTTTTGATACTGTAAAATAAATCTGTTGTAAGAAACTTTGATGTTGATGAACTGAAATCTTACTTCTTCCAATCTTTCATTCTTCTTTCTTTGTCGGCTCTCCCATTGCTACCGACCAACAATTCTCGAGTTTCGAAGATTTCGATAGTTGAAGATCCTCAATTTCCTAATTACAACAATCAATAACATCACCAGTTTTATGAAGAAGATTGTGTGCTCTGGTACAAACGTAGTGTGTATGAATGGCACTTGCCTAAAATGTAAAAATAAATCTCCAGCAACTGAATTGCCAAACTTGTATCCAATGAATTTAAATGAAGACGTTAGCTGGATGACATGGGCAAAAGTTGATAATAAAATAGATATCCAAAAAATCACTGGTTCAGTAGAAAGTTTGTTAAAAGCTATGGATGAGCAGTGGAATAAATATCTTCTTCATGCTTTGTAACATCTGAACAATTTGGTTTTATTAAAACACTAAAAGAATCAATAGGACTCGATCAGGCTATCATTCAAATGGATTTCGCAGAAAACTTTGATCTCGATGTCCAAAATGAAATCCAATCCAAACACTGGTCCAAGAGTCAGGCATCGTTATTTACAATACATGTTAAAACAAAAGATCAAGTGAGCAGGCTTTTGAACTAAGTTCACCGTCAGTCTGTGATGCTTACAGTGGAACATATGCAACTGTCCGATCGTTTTTTTGATGAGACCTAGTGGACTATAGGTAACCGGCCATGCTGATTTTGAATATCGCGAGCTTATAGACTTCTAATCAAATACCACATAATTCGAGTAAAAATTTATGTCTTGAAATTTTTCTATAGAAAAACACAGAAAAATACTGTAAAACAACATCAGTACGTGATCGACACACAGAAAGACATCGCTGTCGTCCGATTTCGAATAATTCGATTATTTTTGGATGCATTAATAAATCATTAACTATTTCATCTTTTCCAATTTGAATATTGACTGATGAATCAGCTGGAATATGAACATGATTTAATAGATGACGTTCCCATTCAGTTATTAAACCTTCTTTATCAATCGATTCTAGAGCAACAATGTCTGCTAAATTTCGAATCATCTTTTTAAATCTGAAACTTTCTATACAACCAGTATCATTGGGATCTACACATAAGAAGAAAAATAATGATCAACATCACAGTAAACACGTTTTTAATGCATACCCATTAAACCAACCAGTATTTCAATACGTTCACGATTTGTTAAATCCGTATCTAAAACTCTAAGTGATAGTATCGCTTCTTGAAATTTCCATTGATGATATTTCATTTGCTGATCAAAATATTCTTTCTAAACGAAAAAACAAAATAATTACTTGATCATTATCACAGACTAAATACGAAATCAAAATAGAACTGATCAATGGAAAAGAACACCTCTTCATTTTGTAACAATGTTAGCTAATAAAGGATGAGGGTATGTTATTCGCTCATGTTTAAGCTGATCAGAACGTCTTTTCCAATGTTTAGACCGATCATTTTGCTACTAAAACGAAACGCTGATCCATTGTTAAAAGATTACAATGGCATTGATTCTTGTGCAACATCGATGGAGGTTGGAGATCCCCATGTAATAACNGTTGGTTAACAATAAACAGAAAATATGCCTGTTACAAGTACTGCTCTTTTTCGTTTACAGGTACCGTTTGGTGTCTCTACACAAACAAGAACCTGAAGAAGGTCCAGATGCCGAGAAAAGTTATGAATCAATATTAGATGATCCTGTCTGTCTGAAAGAAATTGCTCGTTCACCGTCTGTTTCCGCTGATGATAGGTGATAGTACAAGTTATTTTAATCTTATTTATCTGTGATTTACATAATGCATAATATGGTGCAAACGGGGATTTACGGCGGTCATATACGACT